TCGATTTTCTGCAAAGGTGGCCAATCAGCACATGAGATGACATCACCATCAGTCATTAAGCAAATGCATAGAAAGCTACAGAGATCCTTTCACACCCACACAAATGGGTAAAATGAAAGGGACGGGGTCAGGGCAGGTAGAGGACGGTAAAGGGAAGGTCAATGGTGATGGAAGGAGAGTTGACTTCGGATGGTGAACACACAATACAACATACAGATGACGTACTACAGAATTGTACACTTGAAACCTATATAATTTTATTAACCAACAAATTCAGTAAAAACATATCTTAGAAATAAAAGGGACAGATAGTAAGTTTTGGCAGGGAAGTAGAGAAGTCAGAAAGAACCCTCATACATTGCTGACACAACTGTAAAATAGTGCAGCCACTTTGGAATGATAACAACAAAATTAATAACCGAACAGTTGTGTATACTCATACAAGGTAACATTATTCAGCCACGAAAAGGAATGAAGTGATGTTAGCTGCTATAACATGGGTGAACCTGGAAGAAAATACTATGCTAATTAAAAAGAACCATACACAAAAGAACACAACTTTTATGGCTCCATTTATACAAAATGTCTAGAACAGGCATATCCATAGAGAAAGAAAGATTAGCACTGCAGGCGCTGAAGACAGGAAAATGGGGACGACTACAAGGGTTCTACAGGGTTTCTTGTTGGGATGATGAAAATACCCTAAAATTAGACAGCAGTGACAGCTGTAGAAGTGAACCTACCAAAACCCATAAACGGTACTTTAAACGGGTGAACGTCATGGTGTGTGAATTGTATCTCAATAAAGTTGGAAGCTATAACCTCCCCCCCCCCAATAAAAAGGAAAGTAACTCCAGGATGTGTCCTTACACAGCTGCCAACTTTATGTTTTTCTAGACTTAATTTTAACAACTGTTATCTTAGAATTTGGGTAAAGAAAAAGAGGAAATTGTTACTTCTTTTTATACTGAAAAATACCCATTTATTTTCTATATTTCCTCACTCTGAGAAATAATCCTACACCAGCATCTGCAGGTGGAGGGGGCAACTAACCACAAAACACAAGAGGCTCCCCGGAAATCAATGCCAGCAGTCCCGGTCCCGGGACTAATGGGAATCACCTAGCCAACACTCACACCCAGGCTGTGCTGGGAACTGTAGGCTGCGCGGTCACACGCACTGGGCACCGGAAGAGAACTGGACTCTCGAGTGACCCGTGGCCCTCCCTCCCCTCCACCTGTGTTCTGTGACCATTTCAGAAAGTAAGTGACTGAATAGCCACAGAAGGGAGATCCAGACCTGCCGATATTAAAATGCCACCTTTTATTACGTCACCGTATCTGAGTGCTGACCTAGTGTCATCGAGGGACATCCTTTGGAGATGCCCCTGTACTGGGCCCATCTCCTACCTTCTGATGAATCACTATCCTGGCCACCAGTTCCAGAAGCACACGTGCCACAGCCCCCATGGCCACTGTGGGTCACTGGAGTTCAATCTCACGAGAGCAGAGCCCATGCCCAGGCGAAGCCGGAGTCCCGCCCTGTTCCGACTCTAAAAGCAGCCCTGGCCTGACGAGGCAGCAGGGCACTCATCCAGCACTTGCCAGCATCTAAAACTGCACGTGGAGAGACAGACAGACAGACAGCAAATGTCTATGACTGTGCTCACAGAATCTTCAGTCCAGGAGGAACTTCTCTCGCTGTAGCTGAGATAGTGACCCATCTATTCTCCAGTTGAGGCCCATCTATTTTTAAGTTCGCCCTCCCTGCCTTTCATCTAGCCCAAAAGATGGAAATGTTCAGGGGGAGGAAGGGAGACCACAGATTTTACTTTTTCGTTCTAAAGACAATGTGAAATGTAGTACACTGGGCAAGAACTAACTGTAAAGAAGTATATAATGACCTGATTTGAAATGCTGAAATCTGCCCTGGCTGGTTTGGCTCAGTGGATAGAGCGTCGGCCTGCGGACTGAAGGGTCCCAGGTTCGATTCCGGCCAAGGGCACATGCCTGGGTTGTGGGCTTGATCCCCAGTAGGGGATGTGCAGGAGGCAGCCCATCAATGATTCTCTCTCATCATTGATGTTTCTATCTCTCTTTCCCTCTCCCTTCCTCTCCGAAATCAATAAAAATAAAAATAAAAATAAAATTAAAAAAAAAAAAGAAATGCTGAAATCTAGTTACCCATTTAATTTTTTATGTTCCCCTCTGGTGTTTACACGTGTGTGTCCCAGTCCGTCCAGGCTGCTATGACGAAAGGCCACCGACTGAGGCTTATCAAGAACAGAAACCTTCCTACAGTTCTGGAGGCTGGCGTCCGAGATCCAGGCGCCAGCGGCGTTGGTGCGGTGAGGGCAGCTTCCGCGTTCATGGACAGCTGCCTGGGGCTGGGCCCTCACGTGGCAGGCGGGGAAGGAGCCCTCTGGAGTCTTGGGAAAGGGCAGGAATTCCTGAGGGGGCATGGGATCCGTTCATGAGGCTCCACCCCTCATACCCTCACATTGCGGGTGTTTCAAAATCCACATTTTAAAAGGACTTACACATTCAGTCTGTAGAAATGTGTTACTGACATAGCAAAATGTGCAAGAAATTAAAATACGAACAAAGCAACTGAAATAATTAGGAAAACTTCTCATGTCTTAGATCTAGATTTGGATTATCTTGAACAGCATAGTTTCTATTACCAACATGGGACATGACAGGTTATCAGCTCACTTCAGAAAACTATGAAAGAAATGAACCTCTGGTGAAATAGGATTTATCAATTAGGACACGTCACATACAACAGATGCCCAAAAGACGAGTATATTTTAAATGCCCTAAATAAAAAGCTTAAATAGGTACCAAAGGTAAATATTCAATATCTTTATTTATGGCACACTCTAAGGTTATCAATACTGACACATACTCAAACGCAGAGGCACGATAAATACAATTCCCAGGAAAAAGCACAACAATGATTAATAAGCTGGACATGGCCCACACCTCTCCCATGACCCTCGGCTCACAGGGCCACACTGGGCATCCCACGCTTCCCTCCGAAGGGGCAAGGGCGCTCCGCCTCTGAGGGACAGGCCTGGAGTGGCCCCTGCAGCGCCAGCGCCATCGCCCCGAGGAAAACCACACGTTTCAGAGAGAGCGAGAGTCCCAGGAAGTGACAAAACCTGTCCCTGCCTAAGGGTACGGACATGGCTGCTATACTGTCTGTATATTTAATTTGGGGGAAATTCAGAACATATTCTTCATCACAAAGAATACAAAAACAGCCCTAGCCGGTTTTGCTCAGTGGATAGAGCGTCGGCCTGCAGACTGAAGGGTCCAGGGTTGCGGGCTTGATCCCCAGTAGGGGGCGTGGAGGAGGCAGCCAATCAACAATTCTCTCTCGTTATTGATATTTCTCTCTCCCTTTTCCTTCCTCTCTGAAATCAATAAAAATATATTTTAAAATATACATAAAAGCATATGAGTCAGGATGGTGGCCACAGTCCCCGAGGGCAATTCTAAGACGGCCGTCTCCCCCTCGAGAGGCAGGCTCTGAGCAGGACCGTCAGAGGCCTGCAGTGCACACGTCTCGGATGTGAAAGGGGACGTGGTGGGTGATGAAAGCACAGACAATGGGCACATTAAGAACTAGAAGGAGCTAGAAGCCTGCACACCACAGAGACAGGTCAACAGCTCTTTCCTGCTGTTTCTGTACCATAAGGGATCGATCTATCTGTGCGTGACTAACCTTGATGGGTCTGGAAGGCACAGAAGAGCACCTTCCGGAACACAGTGAGCTGTGAGGAGGCGCCCACCACATGGGACCCCCCACTGGCCAGCCACCAGTTCGCTGAAGGGAGATTTTCTGCTGCTTGTGTCACAGGGCGCCTACGCCACCTCCATGCTTTTATCTGCACACAGGTACTGCCTCTAACCAACAAAGTCTCACACACGATTCTCTTCTGTGGTCCACACACAACGTCTTGTGCGAGATTCCAGCACATTTCCTACAAGTGCACTTCTGAAATAACCTTCTCTCGTAGATTCCACATCTCCAAAACCTTTTCCTCCCAGGTCAGCCTATGAGTCACATGCCATTTACCAAATGACCAGGAGAGGTGAACAGTAAAGCAAATCCCAGAGGGGCTCTGACTCTGGGTTGATAACACTGAAGAATGCACCACCAACTACTAAGGTCCATTGTTTCTTTCCAACGTAGTTACCAAATTTAAAATAGATTTGCCCTGGCCAGGTAGCCCAGTTGGTTAGAGCAACACATCTTCCAGAAACATCAAGGTTGCAGGTCAGGGCACATACAAGAACCAACCCATGATGCATAAGTAAGTAGAACAGCAAACCAATCTCTCTCTCTCTCTCTCTCGTGAATAAAAAAATTTTAATTAAAAAAATTCACACTAAATATTTCCCCAAACACTTGTCTATGAAAACGTTAAAAACGTCAATGGAGAAAGCATGAAAATATACCAAGGTTCCAACCACCTGTCTACCACCAACCAACTTGTTTTCTTGGGCAAGTCACTAAGTCCGTTTTAATCCATTTTTTTGAGAACGATCACATTTGAAAAGCATAATCCTCTGAAACAGACAAAGCAAGCAACACCTTCGCATGACAGAAGGAACAGAACAAAGGCCTGGAAAGCTAAATGACCTGCTCCTCACGGCGGCGGGAGGCTGAGGAGGAAGGAGGGACCACAGGCTCTCCTGACACCTCCACATTAGCGCTGGGGCTTTTGTTCGCTGAACCTGTTGAGGCCCCGAGGCACTTAAAACCTTACATATAATCTTCCCAGTTCCGTCACCAGGCTCAGGATCCAGCCGTGACAACTGTCAGCTGCGTGCAAATCGCAGTATTTAAAAGAAAAAGCACTAGCTTTATTTCATTCTCCACGAGGCCTTAATCATCTCCTTGACTTGTCATCCACAATGGTATTTACTTGTTAAAGGAACTTAGACGAAGCACTACAGGGGACATTTCTGACATTAAGTGGGAAGGAAAGCTCGCAAAGAAACTTATGTATTTATTCATAAGCAATTTCGTTTGAAAATCACTCATACAGCATCTTCAAGTATTTCACACATCTCAGGCTTTGGACATGGGGTAAGTTTCTAGATTAACACCACTGCCATTTCCTGTGATTCCACCTCATTTCCTTGATCAGAAAAGAAAGCCTTATTTCCTGCACAAAGTGTCACGGTCAGAAAGGTCCCCTGATGGCACCTCGTGCAGGCGGCCTCCTACGAGCAGCGCAGGGAACACTCATCTCCAGCCACGGGGGCGCCCTGCTCCTCCTCCTCCAGGCAGCAGACCAGGAGGCTGCAGAGGCCTGAGCTAGAGCCCAGAGACTCAGGTTTAAAACTTCGGCAAATCTATAATCAGAAGACAGAACGATAATCACACCTCAGAAAATATTAGAGTATTTCGTTTTTTTAATTTTACACACACACACACACACACAGGGTGCCAGTCACTGGGTGGCAGAACTGGGGCCAAGAGGTGAGGATACGAAGTATCGGGCATGTAAGGAAAGGGGTAAAACAAATTCTAGAGCAGTGGTTCTCAACTTTCCTAATGCCGCCACCCTTTACTACAGGTCCTCATGTGGTGACCCAACCATAAAATTATTTTCATGGCTACTTCATAACTGTAATGTTGCTGCTGTGATGAATCGTCATGTAAATATCTGATATGCAGGCTGGTCTTAGGCGACCCCTGTGAAAGGGTCGTTCGACCGCCAAAGGGGTGGCGACCCACAGGTTGAGAACCGCTGTTCTACAGGCTGGCAGCTGGGGGGGGGGGCGCACGGCTGGGAGGGAAGGGCACGGAGAATGAGGCTCCCTGACGGGACGGGGGGACGGGGCTTCACAAAAGCCGTGTGTGAGGAGTCACTAGACTGGAAGCTTCCCAAGCGCAGGGCCATGGCACTTGTCTTGCAGCCCCGACCCCTCGAGCTCAGGTCAGGGACCTCGCGGGGACCTAGTCAATGCTGTGTGACCACCGACGGATGTGCTGGAAACAGTCACCCACCCCAGGCGCTGGCAGCCGCTCTCCCGTGCGCACCGCCGTCCCGGCCGCAGAGGAGCCCGCGGAGGGCAGAAAGCAGGCGGCACGAGGATAACGTGCTAGAAGCCCCCACACCCCTGGTCGGCAAACTGCGGCTTGCGAGCCACATGTGGCTCTTTGGCCCCTTGAGTGTGGCTCTTCCACAAAATACCGACTTCTGCGCATGGGCCACGAAGTTTCAATCGCACTGTACGTGCGCGCCCGCACGTGGTATTTTGCCGACCACCGTCCTACGACCACCGCCCTACGCTGGAGGTGCTGAGTCCGAGACCCTCAGGAAGCCCGGTCGGAGGGCTGCAGGGCGATGTATATGTTTACTAAGTGTGTCTGCCTTCCGCGTTTTCCGTACCTGACTCCTCACAGCAACTCTGAACTAGTTTCACAATCCACTTCACAGACCAGAAACCTGCAGCTCCCAGGATGAAGTAACTTGTCAAGGACCAAACTCCCACAGCAAGGGCAGAATTAAAACAAGAGCGAGTTCCCAAGCGATTCCCACGACAGCTAATGTCTCGTTTTTATATTCCAGCCTAACGTGTGCGGGGGGAGGGGGCTGTCAAATCAGCCAAAATCCTGTTGTCCTGAATCATCACGAAACCAGCAGCTAAGGCTTTCCCCAAAAGTTTTACGTGAAAACCCACTTGTGAAAATTTGTCCTCAATCATAAAAGTCAGAAAACTAAATTTTAACAGCTGCATGTGTACTGTATGTTCCTACATTTTAACCTACACAGGCCTAGATCTAGACACTTAAGAACATAGCCAGCAATCATTTTATTTTTTTCAAAATATGTTTTTATAGACTTCAGAGAGGAAGGGAGAGAGAGAGAGAGAAACATCCATGATGAGAGAGGGTTATGGATCGGCCGCCTCCTGCACGCCCCCTACTGGGGATCGAACCCACAACCCAGGCATGTGCCCCGACTGGGAATCAAACCAGTGACCTCCTGGTTCCTAGGTCGATGGGCAACTGTAGCCCGGCCGGTGTGGCTCAATGGTTGCACGTCGACCAAGAGGTGGCGGGTTCGATTCCCGGTCGGGGCACATGCCCGGGTTGCAGGCTCGATACCCAGTGGGGGGCGTGCAGGAGGCGGCCGACCCATGACCCTCTCTCATCATGGATGTTTCTCTCTCTCTCCTCCCTTCCTCTCTGAAATCAATAAAAATATATTTAAAAAAAGACTGTGACATTAAGAAAAAAAGAAATGGGCAACTGTAAGATCAAGGCCCTGGGCTGTGGATTACACCCCAGACTGCGTATTGGGGGAACAGCGAGTTGTCTTCTCTGGGGGGTCAGAGGGTATTTCTGGAGGGGAGAGCACAGGTGCACGAGTACCTAGCGCACAGTGTGCCTACATTCTAGCCTGTGCAAGCCCAGATCTGAACAAAACTGCGAACCCACCGGACACACCCCTCCGAGCCCCTGTGCCGTGTCCACTGCTCCCAGGGCCTGCAGGGTCCAGAGGCCGCGGCCCAGGGCCCAGCAGCCCCGGGTCAATATTGACCCAGCGGACGGCCACGCGCCCCGGGCCTGCAAACACAGTCGCTCCTGCCCGGCCCAGTTCCTGTTCCCATCCCCTCCGGCTTCCCGCCGCCGCCGCCATCCGGCTCCTCAGAAAGGTGGCCAGTGGCTCAGATTTACAGCGGGATCCCATTCTCGCCCAGGTCTGCCTAATGCCCAGGACACAACCATCTTTTTTACTTTATTTTATTTCTTTCCCCAGTTCTGAGTCCAGACCCCTCTCCTCTCCTCCTCCCTGTCCAGCCCGGTCAGCCAGGTCACCACGGGGCCCAGGGTCCCGGGGCCCTAACTTTCCATCTAAAACTTCCGGTCCTTTCCGCTCCGAGCCCTTTCTCCCCCCAAAAAACACACAAAAACCCTGGAGTAACCTGTCCCTCCTCTCAACACTGCAGGCTCCAAATTAGGGGGGTCACGGTCACAGTCTGACGCTTGAGGGGCACCTTCCGGCCCCGCCGGCTGGGACCCCAGCGCTTCCACCAGGTGCGCCCCCAAACAGACTCTGCGGGGACAGCCCTCCAGCAGGCCCGGCAGGACGGGGTGCTGGTGGCAGTGGCGGGTTGTTGTTGTTTTTTTTTTTCTTTTTCCTTAAAATAAAAACAAACAAACCCGGAGACGGAAGCATCCTTCGAGGACGGCCCCGCGCTGTGCAGTGGCTCCGACCCGCTTCAAGGGCCACGGCGCCCGCCCCATTCCGTTCCGACCTGACCACCAAGAACAACAAAAAAAAAAACAAAAAAAAAAAACCAACAAACAAACAAAAAAAAAACAACC